AAGATGGTTGTTCCAAACATAAAACTTTCTTAAAATGGAAAGTTTCTAAAACCCTAATTCCAAAAATGGCAACTTTCAACAACCTTTGATTTTTCATGATTTCCTTGCCTTTTCTTGATCAAATTCCACCCATTGGTCATATTAAACTTAAGGATCATGATCTTGACCTCAAAAAGTCAGGAGTTGACTTTTTCACTGCACAGTTGACTTTTCTCCGAATCTCTGGATTTTCAATCCACTGACCAATTGGAGCTCTTCTGATTAAAATTTATGATCGATCTCTCATCCTAAAACATATTATGACATATGGAGGGCCATGGAATCAAGTTTGCTCCAAGAAACAAATTTTATCCTGATTAAAATTGAAACCCTAATTCCAACCCTTTTGGCCTGGACATTGTGCAAATGAACTGAGTAACCCTTCCACTTCACTAAAACCTCTGAGGTATTCAACAAACTTCTACCTCATTTTCACACTAGTGATAAGACCTTATGGATCCCTTGAAAATCTTCTGATGGTTTATACCAGTGCCTTTGCTTGAGCTCGAAACCAATAAAGACTTTCCTCTTGAGTGGTGCACAGACAAACACTTGATCCCCTGTAAATGCAAAATGCTATGCAATGCAATATGCTAGAACAATGAAACAAGCCAGAGATTAAGAAAAGAGGTTGGTCAAATTTTGGGGTACAACAATCATGAATACATGAAAATGGCGTGCGATTATGGCATGAATAGGGAGCAATAGTGAATGGTAGCTTACCTAACGGAGTGCCTCTGTTGGGCCTTGATTTGGTGATGAAACTTAGGGGAAAACGACCAGAAAGATTCCACACACTTCAATGGAGATGATAGTGCTCTTGAATTGGATTGAAACTGGTAAATTCTTGAAAACGCGATTTCACTTGCTCTTGAGTTGTTGTAACTGAATTCTTGCTCAATTTTGCACCAAAATCAATTCTGAAACTTTGTGAATGATCCTGAGAATATATACTTTGGATCTGAATTGAATGGAGGTCCAATCAAGGCCTGTTTAGGTCCAATTGAAAATCCACAAATTTGAACTTGAAGCTTGAAAAATTGGAGTATGAACTTGGCTCAAGCAGCTCTGAAATTGGTTCATACACATTGCTTGTTATGTTGACTGATCTAAGGGCTGAGATTGATCCCTTGAAACCATCTAATGGTGAATCTTGAACGTGTGGCTTCATGGTGAAGTTACATGGAATTTGGCATACCAAAACTCATCCAAAGTTAATTATAAAATTGGCATCACATTTAATACATTCAAGGCACTCAAAAAATGCATAAACTTGTCATGAAATGGTTCATTATGAATTTAATCCAAATTATGCCCTTTAAGTATTTTTCCATGGAAATTCCTTCATCAATCTTCCAATTCAATCCAAACTCATGATAGGTGATGACTTGATGATGAAATTGAGCTCATTTGGAGCAAGTTTGATGTTGGACAAAGTTTCATTTGAAGTGCACAAAGTTGTAAAATTGACCTATAACCAAAATGACCTATAATCAAAGTTTCCCAAAATACCCTTGTCTTGCAAGCTTCATATCTTGAGCTCTACAAATCAGATGAAAGACTTATAGTACTTTTTTGAAAGCTAAGATCATAAGGAAAAACTTTCATGTTTGGGTCAAAGTGAGGAGAAACATCCTTCTAGGTCAAAATGTCTTGGAAGTTGGTTGACTTTTGTTAACCAAAATCACATTCATCTGATGACCTGTAACTTGCCAGCTTCATAACTTGTGTTCTAGAAACCCAATGGATGAGTTCTAGTACTCAAAACAAATCTAGAAACATTCTCTACAAGTTTCATATTGGAGTCAAGATGAGATGAAACTTGTATCTTGAGATATGTGGTCTTGAAGTTAGGCACTAAACAGGGGATTTTACACTGACAAGCTTAGAAACCCTGGCTTAGCAACTTCTCACACTCTTGATTCTTCTTGATTTGATCTTGGAATAACTTCTTAGACATATCAACACAACATTCCATGATCACAAAGACTTGGAATTGAGTTTTAATCTCCTTCGAATTCACAATTGACTTAGGGTTGACCAGATGAAAACCCTAACTGCACCACCTTTGACTGTGGGTCCTTGCAGATGATATATTGACTTGAACAAGCTCTTAAATGACCCTCAAGACATCAAATGAGCTTATATAATGTTCCTCATCCATAACTATGGACTTAACATCATCTGATGATTTCCACATGGCCTCTAAGATAGGAGGTAAACCACAACTATTCATCTACCTTTTCAAAGAACTTTTAACTTTCTTCTGAGGCTGATAAACTCTTGATAGCTTGAATAAGACCTCTTTCTTAGGCTTGGAAACTTTGGTAATCTTCTCTTGCTAGGCACACTTCTCTCAATCCCCTGTAAATGAACAATGGTATACAAATGCTAATGTTATGAAAATGCAATGAATCATAAACCAGGTAAAGAAAAGGTTGGGCAAAGTTTGGGGTGCAACAAGTAGAAACAAATATATTATAGTTTCCTAAAAAGTCTCAAAGATCCTTTTTATGAACACCAATTAAATCTGCACTTTGTTCCAAATAAAACTCTTTGACCTGCACACATTGATGAGGTATATCCTACAGGATCTAATCAAACCAAAACACCTCTGTCAAGAGATATAAAATAGTAGCTCCTGTTGTACCAGACAAAGATGTCATGACATCAGATATAAAATAGCAGCTCCTGTTGTACCAGACAAAGATGTCATGACATATGTCTTGACATCTTGATTAAAACACATGACAACAGTTATGTCTTGACAGTAGATGAAGATGTTATAACATATTTCTTAACATCAGTGCAGAATCATATTTTACCAAAATTTAGCCAATCATAGAACCATGGAACTAATAGTTTACGCATCCATAAAGGCAATATATTATAGATAACCAGAGTTAGAAGGAAAATGGGTAAGCCCTAAAGATCAGTATGCATTGCACCAAAGGGAGCTTTGTAAACAATTGAAGATAAAAGGGTATGGAGTTTATGACATGTGCTTAGCCAATATGACTGGCTTAACAAGGTCCTTAGGGAAAGAGTATTCATGATAATTTTCCATCAACGCTAGGGCTTGATGATCAATTACATAAGTAGCAAGTTTATTATTGGAATTGTTTAAAAACTCTTAAGCTTTCGACTGAACCGATACAAGTGTAAATTTCTCATCAAATATGTGCCTGTAATCCATCTTAGAGTGCCCATATTTGCAACACAGTTGACACGTAAGTCGAGTTCCAAGTGAGATGCATCCTCTACCACGCCTCAAGCCATGAGATATGCATCCTCTGCCACGTGAGCTTGAAGTTTGATCATGCACACCACCTATTTGATGATTTTCATGAGCCACATTTGTTTACACGATTGCCACAACCGATTCTTGTTAAAATTTGTCAAGTTCTGCTTCTTGAACATATAGAAGAGCCTCTACATCATAGAGTAAAAGAGGTTTATTTGTCCCATACATTTGCATAAACAAACGAATTATACTCTTAAGGTAATCCATCAAGAATTGAATTTGTATGATCTTGTTCTGAAACAGCTTTACCAAGAGCTAATAACAAATTTGCAATTGCTTTGAGACGAAGAACATATCCTTTGATAGAACTATTACCTTTCTTGAGTGATTTTAACTCCACCCGTAGTTGTCTCACACGTATTTTATGAGCCTTGAAATACTTGTGGATCTTATCCCAAACTTCAAACGCATGTTTGCAACAAAGAACAGATGGTAGCATCGATTCTTAAATGGTGGAAAGAAGCCAGATAAAGATCTTTTGATCTTGCACGATCCATGATTCATATTCATCAGAGACCTTGCCTTCACCTTGATCTTGCACCGTTTTGAACTTCTGAGAAATGCGATGATTGACCACTACTTTGTGTACCCATTGAGCAAGTATGACACCCTCAACTTGTTACAGCAAATAATTGTTTTCTTGCAGCTTGATCGAAAGCTTTGGTTCAAAGTGATGTGAAGTAACCGAATCAGGAACAATAAATGCAAGACTCTGAGATTGTTACGCCATAGTGTCAGGCGATGTAGCTTTAGTTGCGTGAGTTCAACAATGACTACTTGAGAAAGAAGAAGCAATCGCACTCTGAGAAGGTAATTGAGTCCAATTAAAGTAGTTAGAGTTGTTACATAGTGGAAAAAAATCAACGAGGGAAATGGTACCATAATGAAAAAGTGTTTGTGAACTTCACTTCATATTCATTTGTTAAAGTTACCTTCTTAGATTGCCATGAATCCTATATATATATATATATATATATATATATATATATATATATATATATATATATATATATATATATATATATATATATATATATATATATATATATATATATATATATATTCATGCATGGTTGATTATTGCTCATATACGATGAATGCTACACATATCCATGACTATCATGCATGCTACACTATACCATATTTACAAGAGTTCCATACTGTTGTTCTGACATTATGCAATTGCTCTACTATATTACACTACATTTTATTAACAAATAAAAAAATATTTAAATTTTATAAATAACTAGTGATCGTACCTTTATTATTATTATTATTATTATTATTATTATTGTTATTATTATTATTAACCACTTTAAATTAGTTAAGTGATTGATCTCACTTGGTTAAATGAACTCTAAATAATCTGAATTAAAATTATAATTATCAAAATTTTAGAAGAATTTGGGTTTGAAATCTAAAACTTATTATTTTATTTTTTTTTAAACTATTAATAGTGTTTCTCCTAAGAAAAGTTCCTAACATAATTACAATAAAAATAAATTTAAAAGAAAAACTATTAAGGTTAATTCCCTCCACACGGCTCTTATTTCCTATAAATATAAGAAAAACTCTATCAGTTTCTATCATATCATATATCACACAGCAAACTAACTTCAAATTTAAATAATCTCATATTTCCACCTTTCTTCTATATATGGTGAAGTTCTCAAAGGAGCTAGAAGCTCAATTGATACCGGAATGGAAGGAAGCATTTGTGAACTATTGGCAGCTAAAGAAACAGATAAAGAGAATCAAGATGTCAAAAACTCCAAACCAAAACCACCACAAAAATGATGGAAATTCCATTTTTGATTCTATTTGCTTTATTGCCAAGAAAATCTCCCTCAATCTCTCACATGGTTCTGACCATGATAACACCAATATCATTAAGGTATAGTTTAAATTTAAATTAAGTTTTTTTAATTTTTTTTTATCATTGCTTCTTTTGTTGGAAACACAGTCATACATTAGAAATTTGCATCCAATTATTGCAATGAGATAATTGAGCTATACACAATAAATTAAAATGAATGAATATAGACAAGATCGTTTTCATTATAGAGTAATTCAAGGAGGTGTGTTTGGTGAGTATTATCTAAATACATAGAGTTTAGAAACTAGTTTTGAGTTTTCTATTATTGTTAGAAAGTGTTTAGAATTTAGTTTTGAGTTTCTATTATTTTTAGAAAGTGAAAAAATAAAATAAAAAACATTTTAGTTAACATTGGATTATTTTAAAACTAATTCACAGTGCCACCAATTATTATCATAGATACAGTAATACAAATATATACTCAATATGAATCACAAAAAAAAATTCAAATATATAGAATTTTCACTCATTTCATAAACATTAAGAAATTAATATAAATAAAATAAGAAATAGTAATTTTATCAAATAATACATATATTAAATATTTATGTGTTTTCTCATTTTAACTTTTTTTTTTTTTTATAAAAGAGATTGAGTGTGAAGAAATAGTTCAATTAAGAGTATTTTTTTTAAGGTGCATGCATCATGTACACTAATTTAAATGCTTTATAAGGTGTGGTTAATGATTCTCTAATTAAAGTTTAGTGACCTCTCTTTTTATTGAAAACTTTCTTACTTTCTTTTTTTGACTTTCTCTATCACTCAAGAAACCAAAGCAAATCAGTGTTTGTGAATCTATCTATATATAATATACAAATAGTTCATATAATTCTATAATGTGCAGCATGAAATTCTTAATAAATAAATAAATAACACAAAATAACTAATGTAAAACTAAAGAAAAATGTAATGAATATATTTTTTCGAAACGTGCAGGTGAGGAAGAAAACCATAAACAACGGTGGAGAAGAGATATACGAAACCGAGCTTGTCCAGTTATTTTCTGAAGAGGATGAGGTGTTCTTTATAATTTTTTTGATTTAAATTAACAAATATATGAGAAATAATATTGGTAATGTTCTAAAAAAATTTTTTACTTGTCACTTTTTACAGGTACGTGTGTTTTTTCTGAAGCTTGATGAGGAGTTAAATAAAGTGAATCAATTTTACATTAAGCAAGAGAGTGAATTTCTTGAGAGAGGAGAAACCTTAAACAAACAACTTCAAATTTTACTAGACTTAAAGAAAATTATCAATGATAAGCAAAGGAAAAATTATCCGACGAAAAAGACAAATAATGCTGAGACTTTCTCTCGTTCTCCAGCAAGAGATTATAATTTTTCAGGTTAAATTTATCGTCAGTTAATTATAATCGTTAAATATTAAAAAAAAAAGTTTGATGTTATTAATAATTAATTACTTGCGCAGAAAGTTTTGGAGATTCGGATGAAACGAATTCAGAAATTTCCCAACATGATGAGGTTATAGCAAGTTTAGAGAAAAATGGTGTAAGTTTTGTGAATTCAGCAACTAGGACAAAAACAAAGAAGGGAAAGCCTAAAATGGCGATGAGAATCGATACTCCGGCGACGAATGCAACCGGAGCGATTACGGTTATTACAAGCATGCTTTGGGAGGATCTAGTGAACAATCCAAGTGGAGATTTTGTTCACAAGAAAAAAATTCAATGTGCTGAGAAAATGATCAGAAGTGCATTTGTTGAGCTCTATAGAGGCCTTGGTTTACTCAAAACATACAGGTTTAATTTTTAATATGATATCAAAAATAATAAATATAAGAAAGTTTGGAAAATTCAAATACAACAAAACTTTTAAAAGTAGCATGTGATATGTGATGTGGTTAGATTTTATTCCCGTTTTATAAGCAGTTATTTTTAGATTTTGCAAATTCTAATCCTATTCTCTTTTTTTTTGGCAGTACACTAAATATGGTAGCATTTTCGAAAATACTAAAGAAATTTGATAAGGTAAGATTTAAAATATCACATCTTACTTACTATTAGTATACTAGTAACGATACCTTTTAAAGGTGAATAAGTGCGATGTCGCGGATTCGAATCTGCAATTTTATATCTGATGTTTCTGCACAACTATCAACTGAGCTGATTTAACGGAATTAAATCGTTAATATCTCTGCACAGCTATCAACTGAGCTGATTTAACGGAATTAAATCGTCTATATTTGAGAGACGCATAATAAAGATAACATGATAAAAGATTGTAATAAAATCGACCAATGTTTTCTTTTTTCCACTCCACTTTTTGAGTGATAAAGTCATATTTTGTATTTGAATTACACTTTGCTTTACAATGCTTATATATATATTTGCTCAATATATAGTATAATTTACTATGGGATGAGTCATAAGTGCATGATAAAGTTACTATTTGAATATAATATCTATGGCCATTATTTAGTCATAGAAAAATTAAATTTCAATGCTTACTATATAGCTAATGGATATATGATCAAGCAGGTGTCATGTCAAAAAGCTTCATCAAATTATTTAAAAGAAGTGAAGAGATCTCATTTTGTTAGCTCTGATAAGGTATATACTTTAATTTAAAATACTCCCTCTAATACATGTTCTTAAAGATGCAAGAAAAAAAAGTTTAAAATAAATAAATTATGACATTCAATTTTGGTGTTCACAAATTCTTAGTAGTGTTCATAATGGGTTATAGTAGTTTTCTAATATGTTGTTATGATTATATACAAGGTTGTTAGGTTAATGGACGAAGTGGAATCAATATTCACAAAGCATTTTGCCAACAATGACAGGAAAAGGGCTATGAAGTTTTTAAGACCCAAACAAAATAAAGATTCACATATGGTTACTTTTCTTGTCGGTAATATAATGTTTCTTTCTTTGTCTTTCTTAATTATGACCATTTGACGCACGACACTGATATTAACACGTCGCCCACTGATATACAACAAAGTGAAGTTTCTTGTTTCTACTTGTTTCTCTATGCAGGTTTATCTACAGGTTGCTTTGTGTCATTGTTTTGCGTTTATGCAATTTTGGCTCATTTGTGCTCGATATTCTCTCCTAATAACGAGTCAGCTTACATGAAAAATGTCTATCCAGTTTTCAGGTACAAAACTATGTTCAATATTCAAAGATTAATTACAAAATAAATTTTCAACAAACTTTTAATACACTTGTGCTAATGGTTAGAGTAACTTTGTGCAGTGTGTTTGCACTGTTAAGCCTGCACGTGTTTATGTATGGATGTAATCTATACATGTGGAAGAGAACCCGAATCAATTACAATTTCATATTTGAATTCTCTCCGAAAACATCACTTAAACATATAGATTCATTTTTGATATGCACTACTTTAATGACGACGGTGGTTGGAGCAATGGTTGTGCATCTTCTTTTAAGGGCTGCAGGATTTTCTCCCAGCCAAATTGATGCACTCCCTGGAGTTTTACTTCTGGTTAGCAAAATCTAATGACTATTTTGAACAATAAGATTAGTTTTGTTATTTGACTTTTAAAGTACATTTTAGACACATTTGTGCTAACTATGAATTGCAATTTTCAGATTTTCATAGCTTTGCTCTTTTGTCCACTTGATATCTTTTATCGTCCAACACGTTACTGTTTCATTCGTGTTATTCGCAACATAATGTGCTCTCCATTTTATAAGGTAAGTTTCAATCTCAATTAATTTCGAAGTAAAATTGATACATTAATTCTAATAACACATCTAGGAAATTGAACTTAGCATTGTTAATTTAATTTTCATTTATCATTTTAACAGGTTCTGTTGGTAGATTTTTTTATGGCTGACCAATTAACTAGTCAGATTCCATTGCTAAGACATTTGGAAACTACAAGTTGTTACCTTTCGAGCAAAGTTTTCAAAACACACCACCCCGAAACATGTCATTCGGGAAGGTCCTATATAGAAATTACTTATTGCATCTCATTTTTGCCATATATTTGGCGTGTATTGCAAGTAAGTATATTCAAGATTGAGAAAAAAGTCAAATTACCAGATAATGTTTTTATGTTATAGACAACTACTAAACATCCTTCTTGAATTTCGTTTTAAGTGTGCGAGAAGGTGGTACGACGATCACGATGTGAATCATTTGGCTAACATGGGAAAGTATGTTTCCGCGATATTGGCCGCAGGGGCTAGAGTAACATACAATAGACAAAGTGATCATCTATGGTTTGCAATGGTCTTAATTACTTCTGTGGTCGCAACAATTTATCAATTGTATTGGGATTTTGTCAAGGATTGGGGGTTCTTAAATCCTAAATCGAGAAATCCGTGGCTTAGAGATGATTTGGTTTTAAAGAGAAAAAGCATATACTATATGTCAATGGTAAGTTTTCTCTACCTCTATGGTCTAGATGAACATAAAAAGAATCATAGGATTTTTAATATTATTAAGTGATGTTGGATTGCAGGTCTTAAACATTGTTTTGAGGGTGACATGGGTGGAGGCTATCATGCCTTTTAAAGTCGGGCCTGTTGAGTCGCGACTGCTAGAATTCTTGTTGGCAGCACTTGAAGTTATCCGAAGAGGTCATTGGAATTTTTACAGGTGCATTTTATCGTATAAACTTTTTCAGATTCTTAACAATCAGTCCTTGAAAATTGGTAAATTTCAAACAAAATCATAGAATGAATCAAGAAATTTTATTTGCACAGGTTGGAAAATGAGCATCTAAACAATGTTGGCCATTATCGAGCAGTGAAGACGGTACCGTTACCATTTCGTGAGACAGATTCGGATTATTGAGGAGAAATTTCTACATACATGATACAAAAGAATGGTTAATTTCATTAATTTCGTATTATCGTTCATCGGCTCGCATTGCAAAAGTTTAATCTTCAAGGATATTTCACCTGAGAATGGACAGATTTTGGATTTTCTGTTCTATATCAATAGAAGAATAAATTAGCTTTTAGTGTGTTTTCTTTTATATACTCATCTTCTGTATTCTATATATTCATCACTCATGTATTTATTGAAAACAACAAAAAACAACTTTCAAAAACCTTACAAGATCATATAACAATCCAATTAGACTAAGAAAACAACTCTTAAATTTTCATACTACTTGTTTGAAAGATAGAAACAACAAAGAAAGAACAAACTCTATCCCACTCTTAAAGCTACTGCAATTCTCTTTGCAACACAATATGCAATAGATTCAACAGTTATCATGGGATTGACACCAATTGCAGTTGGAAGCAAACTTGCATCACACACAAATAGTCCTTCAGCTTCCCAGCTCTGTCCATTTTCATCGACCGCACCTTCCTTTTCGGTCGTCCCCATCCTACAACTTCCCATCTGGTGAGCAGATGCATACATACTCCAACTTTCTTCATGTGACATTGGCCCTTCTGTCGCGCATATCGATTCTACAAATTTTTCCAATTCTTTTTCATTAGTTCCGCTGCAAACAATTCTCTCTCCGTTTTTGTGAGTGCCTACTTCAACCGCTCCTGCCGCTATAAGAATCCTCAGCGCCCGCTGCAGTCCATGCTTCATGTTCTCTTTGTCGAATTCTTGGTCTAACTCGTACTTTATCCTACCCTCGGTCCTAACCTCTCCACTGCCTCTGTCTTTAATAATTGTGATCAAGTGAACGGTTCTCGAATATCTTAGCATTCTTTCTTTGAAGTCGAATCCAGATTCCCAAGGAAACAAAGTAGAAAAAGTTCCCGGTGCTAGTGCTGGAGTTTCTATAATAGCTTCTACCTCAGCGTCGTCGTTCGATTTCGATAACACTTTGTGTACAGAAGTTATTATCCCTCCTTCGAAGATTTTGCCCTTGAGATCGGACAGTGAGTCTGGAAAATGTCCCCATGTCATTAGCACTGGATGAAGATGAAGGTTTCGGCCGATGTTCTTATTCTTTAGTCCACTAGAGATCATTAAAGGCGGCGTGGAAATTGCTCCGCAGGACGAGATTGTTGCTTTCGCCTCAACTTGAATTCTCCATGTGATGTTTTCTGTTAAAACATTTACCATGACTCCTGAGCATTTCTTTCTTCTCATACCACCTTCGTTATTCGCCAAGATAAATTTTTCAGCTTTGCATCTTGTTAGTATTACAGCACCATGTTCCACAGCATCGACAAGCCACGTAACATCGGTCCCTTGTTTATCTCCTTTACTACAACCATAGTTACACGATCCACAGTAATGATTCTGTGACGAATTTCTTGGCACATAATCAACTTGTAGACCGAGTTTGTTACAACCTTTTCGGAGAACTTGATTCTGTAGTCCTTCCTCGACGCAAGTATCCGTTACGCCGATCCTTTTACACACGATGTCCATAGCAGAAACATATTCAGAGCTTGAAAAGAGTGATAGATTATGATTCTCTGACCAATCCTTGAGAACATAATCCGGTGTTTTGATGCATGCCGACCAATTAACAGCCGAACCACCACCAACCGTTGAACCTGCTAGAATAGCGATTTTTCCATCCAAAGATGAACAAGTTCCTCCTGATTCATAAAGCTCATTCATAGAAGGACCTTCTAGAGAAGAATAATCTCTTGGAGTAAAATAGTTACCCTTCTCAAGAACAAGAACCTTAAGGCCTGAACTCGCAAGAACAGCAGCTGCAACTCCTCCACCGCAGCCGGAACCGACAATCACCACATCACATTTCACTTTGAGGATGTTGTTTTTAGAATCTATTTCAATTTCAAGACCTTTCTTAGAAAGAGATTTTGGCAAACTCGCGTTATCTTCATTCATAGCTTCCACTATTCCCTTTTCAAGTGGCCTCTCTTTGCGAGGATTGTTTGCGTTTTCATGATTGTCAACACGGTAACCGATAGCTTCCCATGCAAGGTTCTCGCCATTCTCATTACACTGCATGCAAACAAAGAACTAAAGTGAATATTCAATCAACCACAGACACGATAAAAAAAAATAAGACAAAGAATGTGACATTACCTGAGAGAAGAACACGATGACGCAAAAGATTTTGATGGAAAGAAATGCAAGTCTAACAGGCGTGAAGAAGCGATGCTTGAACCATTTCTGAAGAACAATCTCTCGGTTTTGCAGAGAAAGATTTGAGAAAGTGTTGATGAAAGGCCATTTGTTGGTGTGAGAGAGAGATCCACAGAGCAAGAAAGTGCCAAGCCTTGTTGATAGCATCCATAGAATCACTCTAACGATTGTAAGTGCTTCTGGTAGTGCCCTCTCAACAAACATCTCTGCAACCTATATATGCACATAACAAATATATTGCACATTGGAATTTTCAGTCCACTATTTTTATCATATTAATCAAAGTTAATGTAGATTACAACTAGTTTGTTTTAGCTTTTTGTAAAAATATTTTTATAGTACTATCTATTTTTGTTTTTAAAAAAATTTAGTTATATAATTATTTTTTAAATGTTATTTTAAAAATTTTTTTGTTATAACTGTTTTTTAATATCAAATTTTAAATAAAAAAAAACTTAAAATTTCAAAAGTTCTTAGCATGTAAGACGTTCTTTATGACATTTGTTACTGAAACTTGAATTTTAGTTATGATGAAATTAGAGAGTAGCATACCTCTTGAGGGACAGAGAAATCAGAGCCAGAAGCTTCCCAGAATAACTCCATAGCCTTGTTTCTTGGTTGAATTCCCTTTGTGTTCAAAAGTTCAGAGTCAAGAGGAGGCAACAAAGCTTCACATACGCTTGCAAGTGATTCCATCTCAGCTGAAAAAAAAGGATTTCTATATTTATCTCTCCTTCTTCCACCTCTCAATAGAGGATGAAAATCTCTGTCTCTCTCCATTTTTCTCCTTCAATTAATTTGGTAATAAGATTCTTGTTCAGTCATGTCTATATATAGATAGAGTGCATGTTGTTTTTGTATATGTAATCAAAGACAGGTGTGCAAACCATGACAGTGCACATACTCTATTGCTTACACTTCATTCATACAGTCTTTACTTTTAGATTTTTGCGCCAAGTGGGATGACCCCACCACTATATACAACAAAATATTCATTTGGAAAATAAAATGTGGTATAGCTAGACTAATTAATGGAGGACTTAGTTTATATGTGTTTGGTTTAAAAAGAATCTTATTATTTTTAATAAATTTTAACATATATATATATATATATATATATATATATATATATATATATATATATATATATATATATATATATATACTACTAGAAATATACAGTTTACCTGCGGATTTTCCTGCGGAAATAATTTCGCAGAAATACCTGCGATTTTACCTGCGACTTTATATTGTGAAACATCACTTCCTGCGAAAAACGTAGTAGCAGCAAATTTCGCAGAAATTCCTGAGATTTTAGCTGCGATTTTAAATTTAAAATTAAAAAATAAATTTCCTGCGGAATTGTCTGCGATTTCCTTCGCAGGAATTAGTTATCTATTGAAACTCAAAATTCTCTGGAAATATCGCAGGAATTGCTGCGAGATTTACTGCGGAATTTGCTGTAAACGTTTCTGCGACTTTTGTTGCGAATTATTTAATTTGTTTTTACTTTCTGTTATGCTTTTACGATTAATAAATAAAATTATAAAACACATATTGACTTCAAGAATATGTTGCTCAAACATTTTTTAATTTTATAATAGATTTTTGTTTTTCTTAAAAAAATTTTATAATATTTATTGGGTTTTTTTAGTTATTTTGTAAAGAATATTTATTTATTTAATACTTTTTTATTGTTGTAAAAATTAGAAAAATAAAAAATATAAATTTATGATATAATTGTAAAATATAAATTTATTGATTTAATAATTTTTATTGTTGTTAAAATTTAAATAATCAAAAGTATAAATTTATGATATAATTGTAAAATATAAGTTTATGATATAATTGTAAAAGTATAAGTTTATTTATTTAATTATATTTTTATTATTATTAAATTAAATTGTAAAATATATTTGACATATTGATTTTTTTGATTTATATATATAATCTAAAAACAAATCTATTTTAAAATATTTAGCAAAGGCTTGCAGAAATGTTTTTTTAAAAATAATAATATATTTTATTACTCCATACAATTTAAAGGCTACTATGAACTCCATACAATTTAAAGGCTACTATGAACAAAAACGACAAGTCACACAATTTATGTCAAAATATTTTTTAAATAAATGATATTTTTTAATCAAAAACAATTGTTTAAAAATTTGAAATATAAAATAAATAAAAAGTTTAACAAATTTTGATAAACATATAAAGAGGTGAGTATCGAACCCACATCGCTATTTTGATTCCTACCAAAATCGTATCTCAGATTGAAATTGCTTCAACATATCATAGCCCAAAATCACTTCCAGATTGAAATGGCTTCCAGGTTTTGTAATTTCTATCCCTAATTTCTTCAACAAATCATAGCTTCTGATTGCTCATCGTATTCGGTTTGTCTCTCTATTTCTTCATCAATTTTTCTTAGCTTGTTATAGAATCTAAAATTCTTTATGGCTTTCACTTTTCACTTATTCTCCAAAGTCTTAGTATTAGTGTTTTTGATTTTGGATTTCTTAGCTATTGATTTGCTTCGCATCAGGTTTTTTTTTTATGACTTCTAGCTGTTTGATGAAATGCACAACTTAAACAAAACTTCATTTGTCTCCTGAGTCAGAAGTTCTATTTACTTGGCAATGCTACTTCTCATTTGTAACAGTTGTTTGCACTATGTTCATATGTGGGTGTTGTAAATATAGACATAGAAATATTTTATCCATTTTCCACAATGCGGGGCTGTGAAATTAGTGTGTGAGTGCGTGCTTGGTAATAGTGGAAACTACAAGGTAGAAAACAATTCACACTTTGGAATCCCACTCCATTGTTCTGAAATTTCTCTACCATTTTTAATGCTATATGGTTACTTTTTAGAGTTTTCTAATAGTTAATGCTTATTATGGCGATACTTTTTACCGTTTTCGTAAGATCAAGTGGTTGAGAAGAAACTGAGAAATGATGAATGGATTGTATAAACTTTTCAACCTCGTCTTCTCTAATGGAACAAAAAGATTGAACCCTTTTTGCACTAAGAAGCTCTGATGTACATATTTTTCTCATCTGTTTCCAATAATCACCGTATGGAGCAAACGCGATATCGGTTGATTCATAGGCTAATATTTTAGGGCAAAGAAGTTGTGGCCTATTAACAAAAGAAAGATCATGTGTTTTCATTATTTCTTTGGCTAAATCAGGAGATGAAACAATCACTGCAGAGATTTCACCTAGCTGAAGATGCATAAGAGGTCCATATTTGTGTGAGAGTTTTCCAAGTGTGTGGTGTGGAAGTGATCCTCCTAGTGCTAATTGATGCAAGTTTCCTATTAGAGGAAGCTTCCATGGTCCTGGTGGAAATTTATGGATCGCACTTCTTGCTTTGATTTTCTTTGTTAGCCAAAACAAAAAGAGGATGAATGAAGTAATGATGATGAGGAAGATAGATTTGATTTCCATTGCATAGAAATGAAGATTTAAAATGATGGGAATTGAATATTTAAGTCTTATGAATTGTTGCATGTAGTATTAAATAAGTATATAATGAGGCAAACGAGATGATTATACTACTATAAATATAATAGATTACTCACATTTCATTTTTTATATCCATTTTACTTTTTCTTTTTTAAGGGATATTGATAAAAATGCACCTTGACTTCATCTGAAAATGACAATACAAGAGCATTTTTTTTGTCATCAAAATCAAAAGACAAATGCATTTAATGAACTAACGTAGAGATCCGGAAAAAAGAAACTAACACATATAGTATGGGGCTAACATAAGTCAATTATTATTTAACACATGCAGTGGGGTTAGAGTTTTCTAATAGTTATATAGTTATGCTTATTATGGCGATACTTTTTAGCTTTACTAGAGTTATGAGTTTATGCCTAACTTTTGACACGTGGTAATGAGAGTTTTTGGTTTTTGTGGTTAATATTTATAGTTGTAAATTTTAAATTTAAATGGTTAACACTAGAGATTTTGTATTTGGAAAACAAATTGAATTTTTGAAGTATTATATTTTTTAAAAGAATTAAAAGAGTAATTTATTTATTTTTAATTTAATAATGCTTATAATTTACCAAACTAACACAGATCAGAGACTCAAGTCAGTGTATTACAACTTTTAAAAAATTGTTGATGAGTCAATTCTGACCATTAAATATACAGATTTATATGGGACCAGTCAAAGGAGGTTGGCTATTCCGCTTAATAATTACAATTACGCTTTAAGTTGTAGATACCGATATCTGTTTTGGTCTGGTTTTTTTACCTTACTTGATATGCTTCTTAGTTGGTCTGTTTTTTCTCAATGGGATTACTTAACACAGTTTAAACTTATTTTAAATGCATATAGCTTAGTTTAGACTTATGTTGAATGCATATTTGTACTTTATGACTGCAATTCTTGTTATGCTGAAAATTGGGGGATAAAAGTTCTTTCTGTAATGGATATGTTGCTGAGAATACTAAGTTGAAAATTTTGAGCTTACATACATATTTGATTTGTTTTATTGGTTTTTATCTTCTTGCTATGGTAGTTGAATGTCTACGGCTTTTGTGATTGTTATTTTATGAATGAAGAACCCAATTGGGATGGGCTCTTGATTCGGTTTAATAACGGTAACATTATAATATTTACATTTTACCGTCAAAGCCTTATGTCTGATTTTACGGTATCCTTGTCAATATCATCTTAATGGGATTTCTAGGCTGATTAATGGAATTGAAGTGTCCGGGTGAGTCATGTTGAATTGAACCAAATTAGCACTGTCACGAAACTGAAATTAGTAGGTTTGTTATCTCTTGCATTGCTCATTGAGCCACCATGATGCTGATTGGAGTGTTATGAGACATATGAACTACCTGTTATATTACTGTTAGGAGTTTATTTGAACATGAGGTTAGTGACAATTGTTGTGGAGAATTAGCTTGAAGCAAACAGTTAGTGAATTAAGTTTTGTTGATGTTCAATCTCTGTTTGAAGTTTCTATGCTGCTTAATATATGTTACTTTCTTGTCTGATATGTAGCTGAAGGATACTACTCCTTTTGATGAGAACTACTAGTGGTGAAATAGTGGAGACTTTACCAAGATCCTTTCAGGTACATATATAAATAAATAACATTGGATTTCACTATTATGTTTATCATAGGTGTTAGAGTTAGAACTAAGGATTTTCTATTAACAGGTACATAGTGAAATATGCATGGAATTGATGAGTATTGGATGATATCATGAGGATATTTCCAGACATAGAGGATGCACGACCAAGATGTTCATCAGGAATAGAATCTCTGGTTTATCTGAACAAAGCAATTGAGAAATCCAAACTACTTTTACAACATTGCTCTGAATGTAGCAAACTCTACCTGGTGTGTGTTTTTTTCTTCTTCTTCTGAAGTGTGATGTGCAGGTTTCTAGAATAATTGATGATCTTGGGCGTGCTACATTTGTTTTGGACTCTGCTGAAGAAGAGGCTGGGAAAGTTTTAACAGAGTTGCTTCAGCAAGGTACTTCGAACTTGGATTCGGTGGAAGATTTTGAACTTAAAGCTCTTCAGTTTGCTGCACCGAGACTGAACATAACATCACAAAGGGCCTTGTTAGTCGAGGAACGGTCTATTAATAAGTTGCTAGATAAAATTGGACCAAATGACCAGAAAATTACAAAATTAAGTATTGTGCTTTAGTTGATATAGAGAGCTGCTGAAACAGAGCTTCTGACGAGATTTCCATATGGAGGTAAGTATTCAGTCTCCTACTTTACTAATCCATATGGAGGTAAGTGTTTTTCTGTCCATGGGAGAAGCTATTGATGCGATACTTACTGCTAAAATGGCTACCGTTTAAAGTACTCATTGCCCAAAATATAAAGTTATATATGAATACAATTTGGTTTGTAATTTTTCAAATTGTATTTTAATATATTTTTCAAATTGTAATTTAGAAGTTATATACTTACTGCTAAATTCAAGTGTGATTGAAGCTGGTATGTTTAGCTACTGCAAGTTAATACGGCGTCAATGCCGAGCAACGGTCAAAGTTGAATCTTGTGGAGAGTCATGTATATTTCTTCATGGAGTATGCCATTGAGAAAGGCATTGTCTATGTTAAATTGTTGGATATCCCACTTATATGTGATGGCTAGTGTGAGCCATAAAAATTACATGTTGCTGAATTTGTTGTATTTCTTATTAATTGAATTGAAGCCTTTACTTTGATGCACTCTAAATGTTTGATGAAATGTCTCAATGTGTTTTTGATATGTTTTTTGGAATTCCTTTATTGCACTCTAAATGTTTGATGAAATGTCTAGGTGTGTAATTTTTACAGAAATCCTTTATTGCACTATAAATGTTTGATGAAATGTTTCTATGTATTTTTAATATGTTTTTGTAATTGTTTTTGTAGTGATGGCATTGGTGGTAGGTTGAAATGGGAAGGTGAAGAAATTGGCGGTTGGCAAAGTTGATGGTAGGGCTGGTTTGGATACAAATGGTTTATCTACACATGGTTGTTATAAATTACTATTGGATATGTGGAAATTTTGAGAGGAACTAGAACAGTGTCGGCATGATGAAGTGGAGCCACAGGTCCCTGCGGTCCATGCTCTGAAATTTATTATGATTTTCATCCTGAGAGGGGATACGATGATGCTGTAAGTAAGATACAGTTAGAAATTGAGTTATTCCAAATCACTTCATTGACAATGTTTTACATTTTTTGGGATGGGTTGGGGATGGAAGCAGGACCTTGGGGATGATACACGCTTTATAGAGTTCTACAATCTAGTATTCATGCAATACAACAAAAAAGATGATGGTTCTCTTGAACCACTAAAGCAGATGAACATTTGTGAAAATCAATTTTTTTTTTAATTTAAAATTTAAAAAGACAATAAAATAATTCATTCTTTCCAAGTCTTTTGTTTCAACTCCTAGTATTTCTTATAGAATAATTCAACATCAGCGGCTGTTCGACTTTTAGTGACAAAGCTTTGGCTTATCTAGCTAGTTTACGCAGAAAGCTGAAAGTTTTGAATCTATGGTTGTGTTAAAGTTGTATCAGATACTGCATTACAAGTATATTGGTCATCAATTTTTATAAGAATTAGGGTCTGTTTAGATTTACTTATATTAATTTTATAGCAGTGTTGAATTGGTTTGAATTATGGATATGTTTATGATAAGTGAAATAATGATAATTTTGAAAAGTTAAATGATATTAGATGATATTGGCATGCTTTAAAAAAAGACAAATAACAACCATAGATTTCTACTATTTTGTTGATATCATTGATTCGTGTTTACTTGTTTGTAGCTTGTGCTATCTTTTTCTTTGTTTTTGTCATTATCCCCGTGAGTCCATCCATAAGTCAATATTGATTGCCTAACAGAAATGCATACCGTATTTTAAAAGTAATTATCATGTGTTTCTTTCAATGATAATAAATAAATAAATGGTTAAGTATTAAATTATAACTTAAACTTGTTCAAATTGCAGGGTGGTTGGTTGCAGGAGTCAAAGTTCTATTAATTTGGTGTTCAACAGCTTCTTATTAGTTTGATGTGGCTGTGTTAGCATGGTTGACATGGAGATAATGAACAGCGACGGCGGATCTTCAATTAGAAGACGTTCGTTGATCTTGTCAAATCATGGAAGCCATCACACCGATAATGATGTTGATTGTGAGAGTGTTTCAGAAGCTGGTGACATAGGCGATCGAGCTCTTCCGAGCAGACGGTTTAGCGAGAGCAACAGTTTCCATTCAGAAAATGGAAGTACTGTTATTACAAAATCATCTGTTAGACCTTTGCCACAAGAACTCTCATTCACCCCACATCTTTCTACTGATGCAACGGTTGGTTCTCATGACTCAAAACTTGTAAGCTCTCTTCATCACTACTTTTCATTTGATAGTTGATTTTGTATACTTTCAGGAACCTCCTAAAGGTTTGCCACAGTTACTAGACTATGTTTCACGTATGGCTCACTTAGTTGGTTTTGGAATTCTTGGGGTAATAACATGCAGAATACAGCTTGATGATAGCTAAATTTGTTTATGCAGAGGTCCCTGCGCTCCTTGTCCTATAATGGTGACAATATCGTGTGCATGCGGGGAGACACATTTTGAGGTTTGAGTTCCTCCATCAGGATTCTATTTACATCTAGCCTTTTGCTACATGGTTTTTCTTTTCCAATTGTGCACGTTTGTGCTTACCATGAATTCCATTTTATAATTGTAGTTCTTGTATACAAATTGTTGTGTGAGCGGTGTATACTTTTGTAAAACAACACCATTGACTGCTCATCTCATAGAATAGAAGTTGATGGCTAGATAATGTTGGACTTACTAAATAGTAGTAGTAGTTAATTTGAAAACTTATGGATTACACTTAATTTGGTAGTGTTCAACATCATATCATTTTCCTTGCATAATTTAAACACGTTGGATTACACTTACTACTGCTGATTTATTTGAAAGCAAAGTAATTTGATGTTATTTTGTGATGCAGGGAAGTGGAAGATTTTGCTCACAGATTAAATTCCGATCGGCCAAAGAGAATAAAAGACTTTTTTTCTGCTTATAGCCTCAATGGATGGCACCTAAAGTTCTTCATAATGAACCGGCAAATGAGAAGTGCATTCAATCTACATCCTTAGAGACACTCTCTTCTCACTCATGTTTTGATGTAAATGTCAGCCTTTGATTGTCTTTTTTTTTGTTAATTTGTCTGAAATTTGGATTGTTTTTTCTGATTAACTTGGTTGGACAAGTAATTATTAGTAGTTTGATTGTCATTTTTAGTAATGTAACTCTATAATTACTTGTTATAAAGTAATGTTCGCTTTAAAAATTTGAATGAAATTAGTGTTGCCTTGACTTATTCAAATTAGATTTTTATTTTTATATTATTGTTCCTTTGACATTTAATATTTATAAAATTTTAAATAAGAATTAAACAAAATTAATAATAAAAATTAAAAACCTGAGAGAGAAAATATCTGCGCATTTACCTGCGGATTCTGAATTTGCTGCGACTTTTTCTGCGAAAGTTTCAATTACCTGCGATATTATCTGCGAGTTTAGGTGTATTACCTGCGACACTTTCCTGCGACTTTTTCCTGCGACACTTTCCTGCGACTCTACCTGCTAAGCTAATTACCCACGAAGGTTTTAGCTGGGCTCAGAAAATAGCAGTAAGAATCGCAGGAAACATGTTTTCTGCGGAAATTACTAAAATCCGCAGGTAAATCCGCAGGAAATCAGAGTATTTCTAGTAGTGATATATATATATATATATATATAGGGCATATCAAATAAGAGGAATTTTAAAATGAGAAAGGAGAGGAACAAACAACAACCATTAAATCATGATTAAACTTATTTATTAATGTGATTATTAATTTCTCTCTCTTATTAACTTGAATTTCATCTCTCTTATTAATTTGATCTAATGGTTGCTGTTTGTTACTCTCATCTCTCATTTAAAATCACTCTTATTTGATATGCTCCTTATATATATATATATATATATATATATATATATATATATATATATATATATATATATATATATATATATATATATATATATATATATATATATATATATATATATATATATATATATATATATATATATATATATATATATATATATATATATATATATATATATATATATATATATATATATATATATATATATATATATATATATATATATATATATATATATATATATATATATATATATATATATATATATATATATATATATATATATATATATATATATATATATATATATATATATATATATAATATATATATATACACTTTAAAAATATGATTTCAACTCATTCATGACTCCAACTTGAGTAAATATTATGATGAAAATATGTTATACGAACACAATACTTGTTGAATTGTTCTTGCATTTTCCTTGAGACCACTTCGGAGTTATATCTTATGATGACTCTTTGTTTGACGGTGAGTTATCTAATGTGGGTGACATTGTAGGCCTTCTCAATTAGGTCAGTTGCACATCTTAGTTTTGTCTCAGTTTCATCTTAATTGAACTGAGTTTGCCTCCATGTTGGCATGTCAATTTTGACAGGTAGTATGGCCTCGACACCGTATACCATTGTAATGGAGTCTCCTTGTTGGTTGGATGGAAAATGGTGTGATACAAACACAATACTTGTGGAGTTGTTCGACCCATAG